CAGCTGTGGTAGGGGACTTCATGCTACCCTGGAGTGTGGCCATGGCATGCACAACCCAAGCTGCCATCATGGTGCAGACACCATCTCCAGGATGTGCAGGGATGGGTCAGGGTTGCAGGGGTCAGTTTAAGTACAGGTGTAAATGCCCAGGGAGTTCAGATAGAGTTTGAGAGCTCTCCAAACATTCTACTTCCATTTTATTCCCCAGGAGCAAAAATCCTACTTCCCAATGGCCAAGCCCCACTGCTAGACTATGCTGCCTTCCCCTGTGAGCTTAGAATTAGGAGGTCTAGCAGGACAGACCTGCCACAAACAAGGTCCCTGTCCCCTCTGCTCTTCTCATCCTCTACTCTGCCCATCAGCAACCACCCTTCCTGTCCAGCCCCAAAAATCTCATGTACTGCAGCTCAGGAGTCTTTGCCTGCCTAAGAACCTGTCAGGGGAGCAGGGAATAGAGGTATGGAGTAGTGTGAGGCGTCCCACAGGCCCTGTGCAGAGACTTCACCAGCAAGGACACCACAGAGATAAATCCTGCCCATGCAGCCTAGGGCTCTGCCACTGACATCCCTGAGAGAGAAACTCTGAGAGATCCCAAATCCTCTTGGGACACAGCCCAGATGCTCCATGCAGGCCCTGTTCTCCTGGATGCCACCAGCCTGGCAGGGATGTGTGGCCAGTAGTGACAGTTCTGCCAGTGTCAGGGACAGCCCAGAGTGATTAGATTGCACCTCTAGGGGTCGGAGGGCAGGACACCTGTGACCTCCGGGCATCTCGGCTGCGGGTGCTGAGCACAGAGCTGCCAACACTGCCCTGATGTGAGGTGGCTGTGCAGGGGCTCAGGAGGGGACAGTGTGTGACAGCTGCAGGGAGCCTCAGCTCAGGCTGCCTTGCATGGAACTCTCTGCCACAGCCCAAACATATTCACTTTTAGCACCTGCTTTACGTGTCTGTGAATTTAAACCCACACAACCCCTGCTCCAACATTATCCCATGCTTCTCCAACTGTGCTCTTCCTGCACAACAAAAAGCCACAACACCACCTTCATGGAAACAGCCCCCTCTTGCATTCTGGGCAGCACTGTGGGACTGGGGACACAAGTCCACATCACAAGCAGCCACATTATCACAGCCTGCCACCACCCCGAGCATGAGCTAACTCCTATGCCAGGATGTGAATCCAGACATCTGCTGTGGAACTGGGAGCAGGAGGAACCTCTTCTCCTCCCACAGAACACTCAGTGGGTGAACAACCACATATCCAAGTTCCCAACAAACTTGAAGCAGTCTGGGGAGGACCCAGCACGTGTCTGAGCAGCAGCATGCAGGAGATAGCACCAGACCTGAGCTTCAGTTTTTCCAGAAGGCCATTCCCACACAGTGCATCAGCACCATTTCCCTTTGCAAGGCATATTGATGGGAAGAGGATGGGAATTACTGGCAGCCTGGCCCTTCCAGATCCTGTTGCTGCCTCCCTTGTTTGCAATCTGTCCTCTAGCGGGGCCTGCCCTGGTTCCCTGAGGCAATAGCAGAGGTACCCGTGCCCACTGCCAGCAGGGTGGAACAGGGATGGCAGAGTCAGTTAACACTTCAGAGAACAGCACACTCATCACACCCACCATCAGGCTTGTCCCAGCTAAAGGGGGCTCTGCTGGCCCTTCTGGCTCCTGCTGCCACCAGGGTGCCACATGGCTGTGTGCCCACTTCGCAGAGCTGCTGCACCCCAGGATAATGGAATGCTGCATCTCCTGGGGTGTCCCCCTCGCTTCCTTCAAAGCCCAGGCAGCCAAGACCCAGAGAAAAAGAGTTTTACCCTGGATCAGCGTGGGAACCAGCAACAGGGATTTCATGGAGCAGGGGACCAGCCCCACCTACAGCACAGTCACAGCTGTGCTTCTCAGCCGCCCTGGGGCCATGGCCTAAGCCACAATGAGTTGAAACCCAGCCAGAACTCTGATGGGGCAGGACCCGCTGGGGCATCAAAAGGAAAGCCACTTCCTGGCCACACTCAGCAGAGCAGCTCCCCATCCTGCTCCTCCATCCCTGAAATAGCAACTCAAACCTGACCTCTGAAATCAGAGCATCCTCTGGGAGCTGCTGGCCTGGCCCAGCCACCCAGCGGGAGGAGGCAGCCAAGCCCCAGCTTAGCAAGGCTGCACCTGAGCCAGGCCCTGCAGCAAGCAGCCTGAGCCTCTCACCAGGAGCAGCAGGATGGTTTGGGAGGGCTGTGGAGTGTGTGGCACCATGGGTGCACAGCCACCCTCATGCATGACGAGCTCCATTCATATTAAGCTCTGTTTCTCTGCTGCATGGAGCAGGGTTACCCACTGCTGCCAGAGCAGGGAGGGATCCATCACCAACTGTATCAGCATGCAGAGCCCTGAAGCAGCAGAGAGAGGGGGTGCTCAGATCAAATCAACACCCAGAGCAATCCTAGAGCCACCTGGACTGGGGCAGAATTTGGCTCCCCTGGTACTGGCACCTCTACCCCCTGTTGGGAGAGTGATGAGCTCCACACCCTTAGGGAGCTCACATATGTATATAGAAACACAACAACTCGATTACCCCCTCACCCTATGGAAGACAAGGCAGCCCTCACACCAGGAGCCCCATGCTTCACTCCCTGTGCACAGAAAGCCTCCTGCCCCCCACCAGCACTGAGTGTCCCCCAGCCCAGCCATGCCCAAGCCCACCTGCTCTTAGACAGCCCTGTTTGTTTGCCCAAGGTATTTGCAGCCGGGGGCACCTGCTTTGATACCATCAGCTCCACGAAGGAAGCTGCTCACCTAGCGTGACCCCTGTAATCCCATCCTTCCCCATTAAGTGCTGTGTGAGCGCATCCCCCCTCCCAGCCTCCTGACATTTCAGCATTTATCTCCCTCTCCCCAAGCTGAGCACATCAAGGCTGTGACATTGCTGGGGAGCAGGAAGCAAACCTCCCGAAGTCATTTAGAAAGGGGCTTGGCAGTGCCAACACACCTCAGCCCCTCTATTGCTCCCTCTGTGTTGGGGGCATCCACTTCCCACAGCACTGCCCTACAGCAGCGCTGGGGACCAGCCAGCACTCGTGGCAAGATCTCAAGCTGAGCTGTTCCTACACTGGGGTGCACAAGCTTTGTTTCCTCAAGCCTCCTGCCACCACCCTCACGTCCCCCATGGTGCCACCTTTGCCCCCTGCCAGGACAGTCCTGCCTGCCTCTGTTCCAGCTACCTGGATACCCTGAAGTACACACACCAGCAGCCTGAAATAATCTCCTTTTACTGTCGAAGAGGCCAAACGCGCCTTCTCATCAGCCAACACGGCTTCTTCCACTCTGTGTGAAGCATCAGTATCACCCTCCCAGGACGGAGCAGTGCCCATTCCCCCCACTCATCACTCCCCACCAGGCTTGGAAGCAGCTGCCTCCCCCAACCCTTCCTTCCAAGAGTGCCTTGTTAAAAATGATCTGCTGGCTCCCGTTCCCCTGCATTTCCGCGGAGCACAAGCACAGTCAAGGTCTGGCAGACAGATTATCCCTGACCCCTTCCAGGTGCACATAGCCAGGGAAATCTGCAAGGCGATGGGATGCCAGCCCTGGCCGGGGCTGGGAACTGTCCTAGCGCTGTCCCAGCCACGGCTCCATCCGAAGCCCAGAACTCCTTTCCCGTCCCGTCAGCACAGGGCACTGGTGCGCTGGGAGATCCAACCGCGCCTGTGGGCACGGGCACCGAGCGCCAGCCCCGGGCACACGGGATGGCGGGGGGACACCGCACCTCCCCGGGGGACAGGAGGAGCAGCAGGGCGGGATGCCCTCAGCGCCTGCCGGGGGAGAGCGGCCAGGCGCGGGCCGGGGCAGACGGAGCGGGAGCGGCCGGGAGCGGCGGCCCCGGTGAGGGCCGCGGTGTCCCGGTGCGGGCCGCGGTGTCCCGGTGCGGGCCCCGGTGCCCGGTGCGGGCCGCAGAGCCCGCCTGCCCCCTGGCGGTGCCGCACCGGCCCCCGCCGCCTCTGCAGCCCCCGGCATCCTCCCCCCGCGCTGCTGCGGGGCTTCAGCTCCCCCGAGCCCGCTTTCTCCGCCGGCGCCCCCCAGGCAGCTGAGGTCGCGTTCCCCGGAGTTGGAATGCAAGCAGTCTTGGAGTCATGGAATTTTTTTGGGGTTGGAAGAGATTTTTAAAGGCCATCTAGTCTAACCCCTCTGCCATGGACAGGGGCGTCTTTAACTAGATAAGGTTGCTCAGAGCCCTATTCAACCTGATCCTGAGTGTTTTTGGGGATGGGGCATCTACCGCTTCTCTGGGTGATCTGTGCCATTGTTTTACCACCCTCAAGGGTGGTAAAAAAACCTTCTTCCTTATATTTGATTTAAATAAACCCTTTTAGTTTAAAATTATTATCCCTTCTCCCACCTCAACAGGCCCTGCTAAAACATCTGTCCCCATATTTCTCACAAGCCCCCTTCAAGCACTGAAATGCCACAGAAAGATCTTCCCAGAGCCAACTCTTCTTCAGTCCTTTTCCCTTTGCTGCTAGGGGCTTTGAAGCCTCATTCTGAGAGCTAAGCAAAGTCTGTTTGGGGCCAGAAGGAAACAGTGGGTAGGTGCAAAGGACCTGAACAGGTTCCAGAGAGAAACATAATCTAGGAAATAGCCTGAGCTGAGGATCCACCCTGGATTTCCTACACGAGTCCAGGCTACTGAGAAACTCACTGTCCCAGGGTATCAACAGAGCCAGCATGACAAAACAGTCCATGGTGCTTCTCAGGGACAACATCCAGTGTCTGAGACAGGAGGACTGGGACACACATTGACACATGGCCCAAAAATGCAAGACTGACTGCAGAGAAAGTGCCAGAGAAACATTTAAGGGCAGAACCAGCCACCACGGGTGAGAAATGCCACCTGGCTGAAGTGCAGAAAGGATCAAGCCCTCTCCAGGTACCCAGGCATGGGGTAACACAACTCCTCAGCAAAGGTCACAGCTCAAACTCGCCCCACTGAAGCGTGCATGGGAAGAACCTGCCAGCCAGCAGGGGCCTGAGAGATCTTTATTGAGTGTAAAAACAGTTCTTTACAATGCAGATTGACCCAGAACCTCCCCCAAATCAGAGAGGCTGTGAGTTCCCACCCCACCATAACTGCAGCTGAGAACAGAGCATGGGCCCCACTTTCATACTTCCAAGTGTAAAAAAACCACCAAACTGTGAGTAAGCAAAAGCAAACACATTAGAATCAGTGAAAGTGCCTGTCCCACATTGGCTTTACATCCATCTGCTGGAGAAGGGGCCAGGACTGAGTATTTCACAGCCAGGAAAAGGGGGTACACAGAGCAGAGGTCCAGGACAGCAAAAAGGCACAGGGTAAGGATCACCCCCTCCATTCCCAACTCCCAGAACAGGGATCAGAGAGAGGGGATATACCAGCAGCATCCATCCAGTTTTGGGATCACTCTCCCAGGGCTGTGTGAAAGGAGACACCTCAGTGCTGGGAACAGCCCCTGCTCCCCAAAGAGTTAAAACAGCATAAAAACAAACAAACAAAAAAACAAAAAAACCAAACAGCAAATGTTGAAGTCCTGGCAACAGGTGTCCAAGATAAAAACCATCCAGGGAGAGAAGTCCCAGTGAGTACCTAGGAGAAGAACCAGGTTGAGATCAGCAGACTTCAGCAGCACATTGCACCCACACTTGCCACAGCAGTACCACAGCCACCCAGATCCTTCCCCCAAGGCAGCCTGGCCCCTCACCTTGCCTGGAGACAAGTTACTCCTTCCTCCTCCTACTTCTTGGCTGGCTTAATAGGAGGAAGGTCCTCCTCATCCTCCTCAGACAAGTCATCATCCTCCTCAAAGGAAGCATCTTCCCTGTGCACTGGGACACACAAGTAACTGTTACTCACCAATGTACATCTGTGCAAATAAACCGGCCCATGAGACGCCCCAAGAGCAGAGCAGCCCAAGGAGCTTAAAGCAGCTTTCACAGCAGGTAACAGTGGGAAATAAGCAGCATCTCAGCTGGAGGGACGTCTCAGAGGAGAATGGTAACAGCCAGACATGAGAAAAGGGGACAGATTGAGACGTCCAGGTCCCTTTTCCCACGCAAGGCCTTATGGTAGGGCAGGAATCCCTGCACTTGGATGGCCCCTGGGAACCAGCACAAAGGAGGGACAGCATGCTTGCCAGGTAGCACCCAGTGCATCTCCCAGCAGCTCCCTGGCCGTTGTTGACTCTGGAGCCCCTTCATACCCCTGACTCCTCCCAAGCTTTTCCCCACCCTTCAGTCCTTACTGATCCTGTGCCAGCCGGCGAGGTGCACCGGGCCAGAGCCTGCTGCCAGGCGAAAGGTCACTGGAGGCTGCAGCTTGAAGTTGTCCAGACTCAGCTGCAAAGAACAGAGATGGAGCTGAGTTAGGGGCAGAGGCAAAAAGCAGAATATCCCGTAGTTCCCAGTACAGCACATGTCCATCTGAGGGCACCTGCAGATAGGCCAAGGGTACCCAAGGCATTTGCCTGTGAGCTGCAGATCCTAGACTGGGATCCACAAACATCCAGAGCTGTCCTGTTCCCTGCAGCCATGCACCCCCAAGTCTTCAAATCAGCCTCTTACCAAGGGCTGGCATGACAACTTCAGATTTGCCACAGGCACAGCGATCTCTTGGTTCTCATGGTTTCGCCCAACGACTTCCACCACGTTGCACTCATCCTTGGCACCATCGGTGAGGCAGATCTGGGTGGGAGTGGAGATTGTGAACAAGTGCTCTCCGAAGGGACCCATCTGGGACAGGACAAGTAACTCACAGCAATGCTGCCAGCCCAGGTGTCATGCAAGGAGTGGGGATGCTGCTCCACAAAACAGGGAGAGCACTGAAAAACCCCATAACAATTGTCCCCTGACTGCCCCAGAGAGGGCTCTGTGCCTTTCCCAGCTGCAACAGTTGTTGCTGCAGTCACCTGAAGGGATGGCACCCAGGCTGCATTTTCTGCTGATCTGATCCATGCTGACAGGTTCTGTGCTCCTGGGATAGAAAACATCCCCAGGAAGAGCCAGGAATAAAGCCCTCTACCTATCTGGGCTTGGGGAGCAACAAGCCAGAGACCCAGCTGGTGTGGATCGATGCGAAGCTCCAGCAAGGTCAAATATAAGGGAAAATTTTTTTCTTCACTACCTGCCTGGAGCATTCCCCTACTCAGCAGTCTCCTGCCACTACTGGCTTTGCACAAGCACCTCCATATGATGGATAAACGTGACCACTCTGTGTCATGCCCTGAGAGCAGCCAGTCCCGGGACCTCAGCCAAGGGAGTCCCCTGATCCAGCCCAGCCAAGGAAGGAGGATGAGCCTGGAAAAGGGGCATAAGGACATGGGCAACTACAGGAGAGAACAAGCACAGTTAATTCACATTTCTCTTACCACAGAGAGTGCTAAAATGTGGTCAGAGTCATCTTCTTCATCCACCTGAAATGTGTAGGATTTGGTACTGGCAGTCAGCTCACAGCCTAGAAAGAGGAGATTAAAAAAGCAGTAGCAAGTATTACACAACAGTCACTACAGGCAAAGGGTCCTGAGAGGGAGCCCTGACCAGGCATGGATATAGAATCCCTAAAACTTTTTATTTTCTTATGTGAGGAGCGGCATCAGACCAGGGCACCCTGGGCTCCAGGGTCTCAGAAAACTACACATCCGCCTCTGCACCAGGACAAAAGCAGGCTGCCAATAAGCAATGCCCATGGGCACCCAAGGTTCCCAAGTACTGGCAGGGCAGGGTTCTTCCCATCCAGAGAGCAGAACAGTCAGGGCACACCGCTGTGGGAAACAGGAGGGCACAGACAAAAGAGTGACTCTGCTCATGCCATTGCCAGTACAACTTTTTCTTGGATGGGAGTCAGGAAGCAGACAGACACAGAGTGCCAGACCTGAATGATAAGGATACCAAGGGGAGGATACCAGGCCAAGCTGCAGGGAGCTGGAGTCCCTCAGGAGAAGTTTTGAGATATATTTTATTACATACTTCTTCAGACAGTTACAAAAACAAAGGAGATACATAACTACGTGCTTAGCTCTTAGGATGAGGACTCAGCCGACCAAAGGGAGGGACTAAACTGCCCTGGGTACGTTAACTTATTGCAGGATGATTCACCAGCGGGAGGCTAACCGGAAAAACACAGAGCTGAGCGCTGCATACCAGTGCCGGCATTTCCAAGGGAGAGGAATCAGCCTCCACGAGCGCAGCACGAGGCAGGACCGCTTTCTTCCCAGGCTTATATATTGGACTTACGGCGGGGAGGAGCGAACCCCAGGCGCATAAAAGGCCTGGGGAGCTGTAAGTCTGCTCCTCCCGCAGCGCAGCGTGCGCCGAGCCGCGCTGCCCGGCCCTGCCCTGCCCGCACACGCGTCTGAGAGCGGCGCAGGGCCCGGCCGAAACCCCTCCCAGAGAGGAGGGACACGGCCCCACCGCCCTGCCACAGGCGCCCACGAAACGCTGACGTGGGAGCGCGGGGGATTAACCAGAGGAGCGGGAGAGGCCGGCTCCAACCCCCCGCCCCATTAATCCCCGTCCTCTAAAGCCGCCAGAACACCGAGACCCCCACGCGGCTCCTCCCAAAACCCCCCTGGACCCCCAGCATGTGCCTGCTGCCTCCCAAGCCCGGTCATACACGTGTCTCTCCACACTCTCCTTCCCCCACGGCACGTTAGTGCCCTCCACGTGTCTCTCCACACGCACGTGTCTCTCTTGCCTCCTTCCCCCCACAATATCTCTGCTGCCCCCAGGTCTCTCACCGCCACCCCCCCGGTCTTATTGCCCCCACACGTGCCCCCCCCTCCCGCCCCCACGTATCTTTCCAGCCTCCACGCCGTCCCCATTACCCACCAAAGTCTCTTTCTGCCCGTCTCTCTCCTGTCCCCTATTAATTTGCCCAAACGGGTCTCCCCTGCCCCCAGTTCTCTCTTACCGTCCCTACGTCTCTCGTCCCCACATCCCCGCCCCGTGTGTACCTCCCTAGTTCATCTAAGACCCCCCGCGTGTCTCTCCGTCCCCCTGGCCCGTGTCCCCGCTCACCGAAGAGGACGCTGCCGGGACAGGCGGGCCCGTGCGGCTCCATGAGGCGGCGGCTCTGGCAGCGGGTCTGGGAGCGGGGCGGGCCGTGCAGGGCCGAGCCGAGCCGCCCCGCCCCGCCCCGCGTCCGGCCCCGGGGACTGAACCAAAGGGCCCTGCGGCAGCGCCCCGCCGGATACTTTAATTCGGGCATTTCCTGGCTGTCCTGGGCCTTCAGCATTTACTGACCCCACCGCCAACTGTGGAAACGACACACCGGACAAACGGCCCTTACTACCGGCTGCTCAACGGCTGCTCACCCACCGCCCTTCTCCCTGGGCACCATCCCGGCCCACGGCAGCAGCCGCCTCAGCACTGGGAACGAGCCACAGGGCACAGACAGAGCCAGGAGGCTGAGGGCATAAAGAGGGCTACCGAGCGGGGAGAGGAGATTGACAAGGATGGAGGGAGGACCACATCGGCAGGACCTGTTCATCTCTATCCCTTTAAGCATGAGCAAAAGCAGCGTGACCTGACACGGGGGACTGCGGCATAGGAGTGTTTCGGCACTGAAGGCAACATCCTACTTCAAAATCTGCGGTAAAGAGGAGAGGGCCGGACCGGCCTTTCAAAGCAGAAAGGGAAGCAATCTGCTTCTGCTGCAGAGGAGCAGCCAAATTAAACACCACTAACAACGAGTTCACACTGCCTTCTGGGGACAAACTTGGCTCTGTTCCTACCGCAGAGACCTCTGCTAGCCAGCAACTCGCTCTGCTTGAGCTGGAGTAGGTTCAAGGAAAACCTGACTGAAGGGGTTTGAAAAGCTGAACCAGGTCCCAGAAAGAGGCAACTGCTCGTGCAGCAATGGTTACACAAGCACGCCCATGTGCTTCTCAGCAGCTGCTCTGCGCAGCCACCTGACCCCACCTGACCTGTCTGCAGCCACCACCCTGGAGCGATGGAGGCACGAGCATGCATTGCTGCATTATGCTTCCTTAAAGGAAGAGAGTCTGGTGCAACATCGGAGCTCATTCCCTTCTCCCAGGCCAAGATGTGTTGTACAGAGACAAGTCTGTCATAACCTCATGAAATAGGCTTTAAGAAAACAGTCACCTATGCACAACACATTATTCATTTTAAGAGAGAACATTTACTGGGCCAGAAGTTTTCACCTTGTAATTTCCCTGCTTGGTTTGTGTGTTATCCTGTTTTCCAAACACAGTTTCAGAACCACACCACCAGTGAGTGCACTTGTGCAGCAGGTGGACAAACTCTTGTGAAGTGACCTTTGGAAAAAGCTCCTTTTCATACCCCTGGCCCATCCCTTTGCTTATTACCTGTCACTCTAAACAGGAAACTACTTGCTTTAGGTATTTCAGTATTTATCTTCCCAAGTTAAATTTTGTGGATGTACATCTACCAACACCAAAGCCAGACACAAGTCTCTGACAGTTGATCCTAAGGGCATCAAACACTTACAGTGTGATGTAATATACATTGCTGAACCACTTCTGGTTCTGGACCAGCTCATACACAAAATACACATTTATTTATATTCACTTCTCAATTTTTATTCTATTTCTCGCATGGTCTTCAAATACAGTTTTACAGGTCTTTTTCTGCTACAGATACTGTTGATCTAAAACAGATTAATGAAAGTGGCATTCCAACCTTAATGAAAATTCATAACCATGAAAGATATGTCAACATATCACTTTACAATCCTAGAATGATGGTATTGGCCTGACATTCCATAGGCTTAGACAATTAACTTCTATAATAACAAATTCATAGGAAGAGAAAATGTGGCAACTCCTTAAAAGCCAAGAAATAAGGCCACAAGCATCCTATGCTGTAATGTTATGCATCCAGATGAAGTAAGTCGAGTCTGGTATCCATGAAGAAACAAAACTCTCCCACCTGGTAAATCAAGGTATCAGCTACTCAACATGCACTCAAAGCTGTATAAAAACTAGTGGCATTCAGCTTGGACTTAATGAAATCCCACAGCACAATCCCATACCTCTCTCTAAAAATGAAATGAACTTGTTTCAACTCAAATACTTCGCTACCGCATTAAAAATCATTCACATTCTGCAGAAAAAAAAAAAAAAAAAGAAACATCTTGCACATGACTGCACCAGAAGGCCAAACACAGCATCTCCTTACAGGTTGCAGAGAGCATTACTCCAATCTTAATGCCATTCATTACAGGTTGCAAATCAACTTCTGTGCAGCTGGAGGCTTGTAAGAGCAACCAAGCTTCCTTTGCGCACCACTGAAAAAACCCCAGGAAAATTTAAACATAAGATATAGACAGCTTATGGCAGCAGGTGGAAGAAACAAAGTACTGCAAAGTGCATACCATTGTCCAATCACCTGTCTGGGACACTGGGACTACCGTAAAATATCAGTTTCCTTAAATGATCCAACTACTTGACTACCAGGTCCCATAAGACGCCAGTTCCATCCCATCACCAAGCATGTCCATCCTGGGTAAAAACATTAAACTCTTGGAACATTTAAAAGTAGATAACCATTTAAATAATGTGTAAAAATGTGCTTATTGTGGCATTTCTTATAGAAAAGTTATTTGATACAAATGCGCAGGACTTGAAGACCCTGATTTAATCAAACTAGTACGAACAGGCTTTGAAACATGGTGACTCTTCCAAGGACAAATCCCAGTTGTGGGCCAGCTCTCTCTCCCTCTCACCATTTTTCATCCATAATCCAATGTGAACATTACCAAAATTAACGGGTTCAGCAAAGCATCCTGTGAATTGCTGTTTCAGTCTCAGGAGAATGATACCTTCAAGCAGTGACAAACTGCTATCTGAAGGAAGGGTCAGTTGGGATCTGCTCCCCTTTCCCAAGATGGTCAGTACCTAGCCCTGGATATGAGGCACAGTAAGAAAGGTCAGTGCTGAGGACAGACTTGTTCTCGATTGCGGTTTCAGTGTTTTCAAAGTGCCATCTTGGACCTATACCATTTCACTTTTCAAAAGAAAAAGTTACAAAAACCAGTAAACAAAAAGTTAGCCAGCATACAGCTAAGTTTATATACAGTGAGATTTACAAGTTTGTCATTGAGTGACTTCTGCCACAGACCACTGCACATTTGTCCCTAACAAAACACAAAGTTTGAACCAATGGTCATTAGAAGTGACAATGGGTCATTGCTTTATCAACAAGCATAAAAGTAGTAAAAAATAGAACTGTAACTACTTATCTTTAAAAATGCTGATTGATGCAAGCAACCCCTCCAATTTCTGCAACTTCTAATTGCACATCCTGCTCTATGACAGAGAAAAAAAACCTGCATCTTTATAGGCATTCTGCCAGAGACTAATCTTCTCTTGACACTTGAACGCAGAGAACTGTCATCAACCACAGCACCAACTGAGAGGGATTCCTCTGAGAAGCTATAGCCCATGCAAGATTCCTTGGCACTTCACACAGGACTAGGAGAGGACAGGGTTTCTCTTTGTTTAACAATGTTTTCAGCAGCTTTATCCCCTTCCAACAAATTACAGTCTGAATGTGTGATGGGTGATTTTCGCATAGCCCCTTTTACCAAGCTGGCTTATTGCTGGCTTTGTGCAGTTAGACCATATGAAGATCCCCACCACTACCCGCCCAGCTGTTAAGGGTCTACAGTACTGGAACAGTTCACTGTCAAGCACTTCAAAGGCTTCTTCCAAGGATAACAACATCCTTTGGAAATCCTTCCATTTTAGCAATTTCAAAACAACCCAGCTTGCTGTAAAATTCCAAGATTCTTTTATCATCTGGTCTCACTTCACAAAAAGCCCCACGGGAGCCTGAAGAAGAAAGAAAAGAAACAAAATACTGTAGGAGAAGAGTTACCATAAAAAGCACAGACATCAAATATTACTAGAGTTCCCACCAATTTTATGAGGTAAGTCAGTGATCCAATTCCACATGGAGCATAGTGCCCAAGGGCCCAGATTTATGGCAGCACAGCTGACCATCCCTTAACGGAACTGCACACTGCAGGCATCCATCAGTCTGAGCAAACCCTCTGCACACCTTCCACTGCACACAAAAATATCTGATGTTGGCTCCAAAAACAGCATTACAAGAGGCACAAAGGAAGTGTGAGTGTGAGGTGCACAGTCAGGGCAGGCAGCCAAGCACTTCCCATACTGAAGGTTTGGTAATTACCCACCAGTGCACACAGCCAAACTTAAAAAACAGCATCATTAGCAACGCCTGCAGGAAAAATACAGACTTTTGTGCAGTGTTCAAGATGTAAAGATGTGTGCTCTCAGTGCCAAATTGCTCCCTCAGTTCTGCCTAATTTACAGGATAAATGGCTAAAATGAAAAGCTCCCTTTTTTAAGGCAGTAGCAGAAGTTAGCTGTTCAAAAGCTTTTGTAATTTTTTACCCAAATCTTCCCAAGTTTGCCTTGCACCCTAGATATGACATGTAGTTAGGAAACAAGGAATTCTAAGTGCAAGAAACTTACCATTAGCCTTTAGAGAAGAGAGCAGGCAGGCCATCATACTTTTGGCCACACTTGGATCTGTCACTTTTTTGTGGATATCAATCTTTATCAAAGATGGGAAGTTAGCAAGGAATGATTCTGGCAATACTTCTTGTTCTTCATGGAAGCTTAGCATTATTTTCTGAAAAGAGTATTAGAAACAGGTATTGAATAATTATCCAGCTTTTCATTTTCATTCATCTTTATCAGAGGAGACTCCTTTGCACATGGAGTGTACCTCCAAACCAGCAGGCTTTTCAGCTACACCTCTGATGGCCACTTAGTTCCTCATCTGCTGAACTGCTGTCTGTACTCTAGACAAAAAGACTGGCTAGAAAAGCTTCTCAGACCATCAAAGGAGGCATGCAAAGCTCCTTCTCAGTGACCCATACTTCAAGTGAAAGAAAACATAAGCCAACACATAACCAACAGTTTGCACACAGATACTATTTTTTTTCTTTGCCCTTTTAATGGGCAGTGTTAGGCTGCCTTGCACCATTTACAGCTGTCACACTCCACAAATAACTCATAGATTTTCACAACAAAACCAAGTACTCTTCAATTTCTTTTGCATACTTAAACTGGTACGATTTTCAGTGCTCTACCTGCAGCATGGGGAAACTAATACTGCATTTTGCAGTAGAACAGAGCAGGAGCAATAGTTCATTTTCGAAACGTAATTTTCTCTAGATGAAGGTGATTTACATTTACTGCATTGATTACTACTAAAGTACACTTCATGGGTGTATTACAGCACATAGTTGTATCTGATTGGCAAGGAATAATTTTACTGTCTCCTTCTGATAAATCAGATGTTTTAATACATGCTCAAAGTCTTCAGAAAGGTGAAAAAACTGAATTTCATGTGAGCTCAAAAAAACGAAGACCCACTTTGGAAAGACTCCAGCATACAGTTCTCATCTCACAGGTTATACCAACCTCTGCCTCAGACAGCTCCTTGTCACTATTTGGTTTAGTATATTTTTCTTGCATGAAAGGGATCCAAGACATTTTGCATTTCTTTATGAAGGGAGTTACATCAACTGTTCCCAAAGCATAGCCACATATGCCATCCTCATCTTCTAAGACGAAGCAGTAATCCAAGCTGAGGGTGAGCAGACCTCCAACTAACCTGCAGAAAAAAAAGTGCAAATTCAGTCAAAAGAAGATCTGTTTGACCAAGTATGCCCTTCAGGTTCCACAGAGGAGACTCCAGAGTCAACCAAAGAAGCGAGTCCTCCAGTCATGGAATTAGCTCCAACAAATCACTAACTCATAGATCAGTTGTCAAAACTCGGCTATAAGCAATATCTGCACCTCAAGATTCCACTGTTTAATTCCATACAAACTGCTCTTCAGCTTTTGCTCTTAGTTGTTCTCCTGACATTATTTCCTTGCTTTCATAATTGCTTTTGGACAATTTGATACCAGTTACACATCCTTTCTGAACTGCCTTCCTGTCACTCAGAACAGACTCTATAAAATTCTATCTAAATTAAACACCTGAGACAAAAAAAAAATCCACTCAAATTAGCTCATTTTACAGCTCATTTTTAATGCCCCATTAAAAAAAACAACCTTAATATATCATTGCTTATCCTTTTTAAAAGTTTCTACATGCACTTCAGAAAAAACTTGAGGCACTTGGCTGGGAGACTGCACCTCAAAAACACGTCAATTCTATTCTAAGAACTAGAGAACGTCAGAAAAAATAACAAAAATACGACAGACTATGAACACTCTCGTGATATACTTTCACAAAATCTTAAATATTTAAGATACTGTGATGCACACCTTCCTTAATACAAAGGTTTCAGCTAAATTTATTTTTTAACAGCTCACAACAGGCAACCAGCACATGAACTGAGACATAACTGTCAACAGTCTCTTTAAGAACCCAAAACCCTAATTTCAATTTCCTGAGAGTAAATTATTTTATCTACTTCAAATGTTCTTTGTATTCTTCCCACACACAATTCTAAAAAATTAAATACACTATCAGGACTTCATCCTTCAGAACCTCTGCAGGACACTTGTTCCCAATACATACTTGTCTCCAATTAAATCTGGTAAACTATGGAAGGGTTGATCAGCTCCATCAGCATACATTTCTCTGCAGATCTTATATACAGATGCCTAAGAGGAGAAAAGAGATGATTTCAACTTAGCAGTCACATTCAAGAGAGAGTATGTCATTAGTAACTGCACTGGAACCTAGTACAGACAGGCACTGAGTCACCAGAGATCAAAAGTATCCATCTATGCAAAAGGATGGCACTCCCTCCACCTCTTCCCTGAAAATAACCTTAAGTTGCCTTCAAAAATATTGCAGTTAAGTTGAAAGACTGGGAATGAAAGGCTGGAGGTCAATCTCCTGCTCTTGTAACAGCACAAGATTAATTCTGAGGGTTAGATACTAAACACTCAGTGAAGACCACCACCATTGCTACAAAGTCCCTTTACAAAACTTCTGATGTTCGAGTACAGCAATTCTGCAAAGGATAGCTATATCCTGCACTTAAAAAGGCTTTCACCTGGATTTCTTTAAAAATGCAAATTTGTATTAGCCACCTCAACTTTTTTTTTTAACAAAAATGGTTTGCATTTGGCATTTGACACTTTCTTCCTTTAATTAAATTGTAGCTCCTCAGAAGAAATTCTGTTTATGACTGCATGCTTAGCTGCACCTCTAATTGCTAAGGTGGTTCAGAAATAAAATTCAATTTTCTACAAATGAACAAGTCAACTTAGATCAAGTCCTGCATAAAGGTTTGGAAAAGGTTGCTTTACTGCTCATGAGAACAGCACAGGATAGAGCTGGCCTAGAACTGGCAAGAAAGAGAATCTTCATGTGTCAGCCTTGTATGTCTGACTGGCTTCAAAGTTGACTCATTTGAAACACTGCAAAGCCAACCTAGAAACTCCTGTTTCATCTCCGTGTACCTACTAAAACATGATTTAAAGCTTCATTAATCCCTGCATTGTTTAAACTGCATCCCTAAAGAGTTAATTAACTACTGGCTGATACTTCAAGTATTCTCCATGCCAAGCTAATAGGAAGGAAACTACACCACAGATCCATTCAGAAAACAGAAAAGGAAAAAGCACTAATCAAAAATGACTAATGAAATTTTCCTGATTTTAAAGTATCAAACACTCGAAAGCAGATTGTTTCAAAATCAGAGCAAAAAGTTTCCAACTCTAACTAAAATGATATGAATGGCTGAACCATGATCACATTTTTCAGCTCTATTTTGAGATGCAGTATCAATGCTCTGCCTATACAGCTCTGCAAATACCAGCAGGTACAACAATAACCACTGACTGAAACAGGCATACACACCCACCCTCTAAGGTTAATTCACTGGATGTCTCCCTGCTGCAAGAATTCTTCTACCAGCTGAACAAACTTAACTTGTCTTTCATAAATAAGGAAGGCACTCACAGATTTAAAAGGGTGAGGGTGTGGGAGGCTGGGAATCAAGCTGTGGGAGTACACGTACTGTTGCACAGCATGCTGCTGAACCAGAGGCATATCACTTAACCTCAGTTATCCTGTGAGCTGGCATTTGTGCCTTGTGCAAGGTATCAGGACACCTGATTCATTAGGGAAGAGGGGACTCAGCAGTAATCACTGCTGCCAAGAAACAAAGTGCATCACCAACAGCAAAAGTGACAAGTGTCAAAAGCAGTTACCTCATCTTTAGGGAAGTAGGGTCGTATGGTGTACACTTTGGAAGTAGGTGTTAATGGAGGTGGTTGAAAAAAGAGGTCATTTGCCCCATCAATAGGCAGCAAACGCTGTGAAAACAAAATATTTAATATAACTGTATGAACAACAAAACCCATCACTCTTGGGTGTGCACTGCAGACTCCCAAAATAACATTTGCTACTTGCTACCCCAAAAGAAGGTGGGGTTGGTATGCTTTACAAATGCAAAGACCTTAATTGAATAGAAAATATCCAATTGGTGTTCTAAAATATGCAATTGAAACAGCACATTAAGAGTCTGTTAATCTTAACTGCTTTAAAAACTTTTTACCAATCATATCTACACTGTCTAAGAACACAGAATGTCAGGAGGAAAGGTTTGGTCTGAAGAGGGTTAACTGGCCAGAGGAGACGCTTTATCCCAAAAGCAATGCGCTGATTCAATTTGCTGCGCGCAGAGCACCTGTGAGGGGGGAAAAGTATAGCGCCTGAAAAATCCATGAACAAATCTGCACATGGTACAAACAGCGATGTAGGAACGCTTGCCAATTGAATCCCTCGCAATAAAGCACATTACAGCATTCTTTTGAGAGGAACCAAAATTTGGACGACGATTCCTTTTGCTCATGGAATTCCCATTGGCAGACAAGCATGCGCGCATTGTGCAATTGCGGGCGCAGGTAAAAATGCTGTGCGACCTGCAAAGAAACAATGTGAAATGTACAACTAAAGCCGCTGCGCTTCGCATGCGCGTGGGACAGGCAGCATCTCCTTGAGAAATTACTGTAGAAAGGGGAGGAAAATTATTTTAAACCAAGCTGTAAGGCTAATGGGCTTTGGACCAGAAAGCCTTCGGCAGACCAATCCTTCCAGACCTCTGATGTGCAACAAAAGGTTTCTCATAAAACAAAGAAAACGTCATTCAGTTGTGAAGTCATATTGATACCTGGAACTCTCCTGCTAGACCACCTCTAAAGGCCCAGGGTTCTTGGTCTCCACTTAAGAACTGTGCTGAAGATTGACTACGACACCCTGTTGAGATCAGATCCAAGCGGAGAATGTTACGAGAAGGGGGATTTCCTGGGTGTCTTACATGTCCAAAAAGCTAACATACACTTGTGGAAAAAGCTCTCTAACTGAGCTAGAATCCAGGGCTTGGGGAGAGGGAGGGGCTGTAATAATGTATCATTTATAAAGCTTTTGGGCTTGCGCACTAGCTGCGGTATTTCAAATTTTTGATTACCTGTAACAGACAGGTGAGACAATTCAGCTACATACATCATTCTAGACCAGAAGGCAAAGAATGGTGCCATGTAGAACTAGGTAGACTTCCCACACATTTTCTACACTTTTTTTTTTTTTTTTGGGGTATTTGTGTCAGAAACATTCATTTAATCTATGAAAATCTGACATCTTGGAAGCTACGTGGCTCAATAGCTACTACCATAAGTTTTAGATCAAACAAATGCCATTATCACAGCCCCTGAAAAAAAAATGGACCTTTCTGAAGTCACATTTTAGTAGTGTTTGTTTCTAATCTTGTCAGAAAACTAGGACTAGCAATGTATGTAAAGAGTCTGGAACAGATCAGGCAGCCAGGATAGCTGTATGAAACAGCATTCTTGCAAGAGACTACTCGGATTTATATAATCCAGGCCACACCTTCACAGTACTGTTGGCACATTAAAAAGCTCAGTGTTAACTGGAATTAACTCACAATTTAACTAATACACCTTGGTGGCCACTACTAACTTTGCTTTTTGTATCTTGATTTTTTTTTTCCATAAGCATACTGGATGCACCAGGAACCCCGCTGCTCAACCAGCAGCAGCAGGTCCATTGCAGTGCTTAGCTTTAGCCTGCACTTGCTTTGGAGAAGAAGCTTCCATTGGCTCTTTGATTTTTAACACTGTTCTGCCAGCAAGGCACTGCAGCCTTCACCAAGTAACATAAATGACAGCTCTGTAGAGAAAAAGACGCCAAGTGGTATCTGGAGTGGAGATTTCAATACCGGCCTAGTTTTCTGACAAGAGGAGCAGCGCAAATACTCTTCCTTTTGTGGACAGCAATCTACCTCCTGTTCAAGTAACAGTCTGAGATCAGTACAGACAAGTATGTTGTGCTAGTCAGAGAGTCCCAAAGTGTGCCAAGTTTGACATTTATGCAAGTTTAGGAATACAGGTTAAATACAAACTACCCTAAGTATGGTAAATTTCAGAAACAATCCAAACACCAGAATTCAAATTTTGTTTACTCTCATATTTTAGAATTCTCACATAAGAAGATATCCTTCCCAATGAGATTTAGTCAATAACTTGGAAGACAGTATCTGTCTGTCCTTTGAGACTACAACTTAACTAGCACTTCCAATTATTACAGTAAAGAGCTGTGCGAATGAAGAGCTGTATAAATGAAAAACATAGTTAATGCCTTAGTCGCTGCGCAAATGTGACTTCAGTTCATGCTTGTTGTACATCTAATCTATCTGAGCTGCCTCACAGACAAAACCTTTCCATTTTAATTAATTAATGACGACGCGCTGTGAACATCTGGCGCTGTCCATCCAATAGCAGTAGAAACTTGTGCTGAGGATTCTCCCATCTGTACACAATGGGGAAGAAGACAATAGAAGTCATTAGTAATCCATAGTACTGTACAGCCACACTAATTTAAGGGACTGAATGCTAGCTGGACTTGGGAGGAGAGGTTAAGAAAGTGAACATCCAGTGGACCATTGAGCACACCACTGTGAAAACTAACTTGTTTGGATTTGTAATGTACCTGACTTTAAATAATGAGGTATTTTATAAAAGACCTTCACTCTGTATATACACTAGTGATAAAACACAAGCTGAAGACAAAAACAGCCCCTTTCACAGAAGCACTGTTAGCATAAGAATATTAAACTGTACATGTGAAAACCCCTTAATCTATCAACTAATACCAGTGTGAGTACTGGAACAGAACAGTGCCAAAATTAACAGAGCTGGTGTTTACTGAGTTGGCTTCTACTGTGAACTACTCAAAATATTTGATGCATTTAAGAGACTCAAACCCAACTTTACAGGGACACTGAAAACAATTTCAGCTGAATACAGTACCATACAGTACATAGTCTGGTAATTCTGAAATGCAGTCTGCATTGGGCCCTTGATGTTTTCAAAGACTACAAGAACCACTGTTCCCTTTATAGAGTTTTGGCCTAGAGCTCTAAGTAGATTAAGTTATCAAGAAGAGAGCATTCTGTCTAGCTAAAGGTCAACATACAGCAAGGATAGAAAAGTTGGACATGTGTTAACACTCAAAAATGCACAAACTACAGCTTTTAAAACAGCATGAAGTTGTTAGAGAAATGTTAACATACTACAATGCTGCTGAGTTTTTCTCCCCTGCTAGGTTTTCTTCTGTGCTTTGCAGAAGGCAGTCTTAAAAGCTCTCTTCTTCATCAACTATGAGTTTAGGGATCAGATATTTAATAAGCACAAAACACAGGATTTTGTTTGGCACAGGCCAAGTTGATGATTCAACAGGTCTTCTCTGTCCCTGCTTAAATCTGTCAGTATTTACGACTATAATTTAAAGACAATCCAAACACTAGGATTAGACCAAGGTTGTGTAATGGTTAGCCACTGTGAGGTTTGTGACAGCTACAGAAAGTGTGACTTGAGACCATCAGCTTTGCTGTCTGCTGTGTATGTCAAGCAACTCCACAGCATATTCCTTACGGTTGGATTGAAACCTGAAAGTGAAATGTGGTGACTAGAATTACCCAGGCCATGCTGGTGCTATCTGCCAACTTAGGATCTCCCAAAAATCTTTCAAAAAAAAAAGAAAAAAACAACAAACCAAAGAAAATGCCACACATAAAAAAAAATAAACAAGACTGTTTCAAGATCATTTTAAGTCTCAGACTAAATCTGTCCAGAGAGCTCCACAATTTCCACCCATTACCAAAAATAGAGATTAAAATTTTTTTAAAAAATCAGCAATTTGGAAAGTGTTTAAAGGAAATTATTTTGCACCAGAATAGCCTTATGCTAAAGCTCGCATGCGCACAGGGGCTGGGAGGATCACCTTCCTCATGACCAGGCCCATTGAAAGGTCTGTTGAACACAGCAATAGTGTTATCAAGACAGAGCAAACAGCAGATGGCTGATGTGATCACATTTCGTAGTGTCATTTCCAATCATACAGTGGGGCATCCAAGGAGTTACATGGCATAGTCCAGTGTGCATTCAGTCAAGAGTAAGTTAAAGTCAAAACTTACGTGTCAGATGAGATTCAAGTTTCATTAGCCCAAGAAGAAAATCAAGGTCTCCAATCTTAAGCATCCAGCAGACTTCGCTTTTAATAGCAAAGCAAACTCACTGCAAGCATTGCTTCAAATAGCAAGACAGGAAAACCTTTAAAACAGGGTCAAACCAGACCCCCTGTCCAAGAAACATTCACCTAATTCTTCAGTTTTCCCCGTGGGCTAATTAAAAACACACATAAAAAAAAAAGCTATCTGGGATTATAATGGCTCCCAATGCACCTACCTAACCACTGCACAAAAGATTTCACCATTGACATAATACTCTTGATATCCCAGACGTAGGAGTACATGTCATAAAGGATTGTCCTGTTGGCACAATTGGAGAGGCGAGTGAACATGCCCATCACCAAGCTGCACATCTCTTCAAACTTGGCTGCTCGGCTACGCCATTCTTCTATCTATGGAAAAGATCCACAAGATCAAACACAGGCTCCTAGAGAGGAGAGGTACTCTAAAGATGGAGGAAGACCACACAATTCACTGCTTCATTTTACCAGGATGGACTACCACACCACACATGACTCACAGATAGTCTATATGGCTGTTAGAAGTGAGACCAGTACAGGGAACACTGGTCAAATGCAGATACTAGACTGCCTTCATAGATATGCGGCACTACAGGGCTTAAAAGAGTAGATTCCACTGTAGGAATAAAAATTACTCTGCCCTGTGGTTCATTATACACTGCCCTTCAAGTTCTACTAAGTAGAACACCAGTCTCTATTACAGAATACAGACAAAATTGCTTGGGATATTGACATAAAAGGAGAGAAACAAGATTTGCACTCACTTTTTCAGCATCCTTTCCTTTGCAATTTACGCTGACAACACTACTATTTGCTCTAAGCCACTGGAATTCCCTCAGCATCTGTGCACCTTTGGGTCCATGTTCATAAGGAAGGTAAAACAAGTCAGCAAGAAGCTGTAAGTCCTCTAAAGTCACTGGTTCTACTGTGTAAAGAGGCTTTTCATTCGGCCCAGGCACAAAATGTTCTTTGTTAATTTGCTCATCAGTCTGCATAGGTGCAATGTCACTACCGGAGTCTTCCTGCATAGACATCTCTGGAGACTTTGACTCAACTATACTCTCCTTATCTGTATCCATTGGCTTCAGCTCCTCTGCCATCTTGGCTTCAGCAATATCTGTCAGTATCTGATTTGCATTCTTGTCTGCATCATCTTGTTTTTCCACCACCATGTCCATTGGTTCCTCATCAGATTGCTTCTTCTCCTCCTCCTTGGCTAAGGCCGGTGAGTCGCTGCTGAGCGCCGCAGCCTGGCTCATGATGGGCTCCTGGTACACCGTGGTAACCACTGTTGCTGCATTTAAAGAGGATGGTGCCACCAGTGGCCCTACATCCCCTACAGAGGTTTTAGCACCACTGTGGGCCACTTGCCTACCTGAGAATAAGAAGAAACAAGTTTAGTTTTCAATATCTGCCAACTAACATTCAAATCAGCAACTCCTGCAAATGATGGATGACTTTGTTACCATAGCATCCCATCAGCACAGCTTCCTTTTGGTACTTTGCCTGTTCACTTCTGTCAACGTAATTCTAACTATTGACTTTGAGTTTTGCAAGTTTCCTTTTCACATAACTGGTAAGCAAAGATAGGATGAAGAAAAAGTTAGGAAATTTAACACTTATTTTTAACTATGTCATCAGAATAAAAAGCTCCCCAAGTAACTATTATTCCCTCTGCATCAACTGACTTGGTAAAGTATAATAAAAGCTTAATATGATAAGCTGATGCTTAAATATTTCAAATTCAAAACTGTCTTTAACCTGGAGAAAATTGAGACATTCAAAACCTTAGCAGATACAATCTTGGACAACATGCTCTAAACTCACCCTCCCTGACCAAGGTCGTTAGACTCAAGATCCAGACCCTTTCCTGCCTTCTATCAGAAATGCCAAAAGATAATACATCAAGATTGCTTCAGTTATCAGTCAGAGCATTACAGGCACATTGCAAAACATCAAGCATTCTTACTTTTCAATTAAGGTTCCCCAATTACTAAGGCAGAAAATATTTCCAGCCAAAGTGTATGAATTGCCAGGATCTGTAAAATATCTTTAATCTAAACACAAATACCGAACATCTAACACCATTCTTCAACCAGCCCCAGAATGATACCAAATCATACTCACTGCTGTATTGCTGAGGTACTCCAAATTCCTGCAACCATTCTGTTAAGGCCAACTTCAGGGCCATTTGTGGGCTGTAGAGAACATCTGTTTCAATATCTTCATCACTCCCCTCATTTTCCAATTTGATTTGGATCGAAACTGTGCTGTCTTCAGTATCAGCTACAGAGACAAATTTTAGAAGTTATCATGTCAGTTTAATTTAAAATAGCAAAAATAGATGTCAGACAAGGCATTCGGTAACCCAGGGGCTTACTTGACAAAAAGGACAAGTTACTAGATGCTAATTAGAAAAGAAATGAAAATTATGGTCACCAATGTCAACACAAAAACCAGACACCCTGGCATTCAGGGTGTCTTCTCATCTGAACTGCTTCTATTCCATTGAAATTATATCCATGGACACATTTCAAACTTGGGCATTAAACTTGATTTCCAAGAGTGTTAATTACATAACCACTCCAGAAACCTCTCCAGACTAAGAAATTCTTTGATACCATGTGCTACAAATATGCCCCAGGAAGTCAGTAAAGCACTATCATTATCTTTCAGCCAGCTGCCATTTACTTGTGAACAGAAAAGGCTAGGTGATCATAAGAAGAAAAAGTTGGCGAAGAAGACATAAAATCACTAAAAATATTGAGAATTGGTTATGATTCATATGGTTAAGCATAGATCTAGCAAACAGTTAAGCATACTTACTCATCACCACATCTTTTCTCACTCCATTCATGTTAGACTTGTACCAGGTCGCAAGCGTGTGAATGGCAACATAATTGGCTTCAAATTCACAGTTTGGATTGGTCAGAACACCCTTTAGTCGAGGGATAAGTTCAGTTGACCGACCCTTGTAAGGCCCAAGAAAAAGCCTCTTTTGATCATAGTCATTAGCATGAATGTTATCCCAGATAACTGGGGCTCTCCTGATGATCTTAGAAACTTCTTCAATGGATTCTACCGGAATGTCTTTGGATACAACTTTCGGACCTAAGCAGGAAATAGGATGATCAGAGGGCTTTGCACATACTTGAAGATTTAACACCCAAGTAGTTGGACAGTTTATTTTAATAAATACTTACAAGAAAATACTTAACACCAACAAAATAAAAGAACTAAGCCATCAATCTTTACCTGTCCATAACACTTCAATTCCAGGGAGCAGTTTTTCTCCTACAGTCCGTAAATACGGTGACTGGGCAACGTTTGGGTAACAGAAAGTTCCACAGTACTCTGCACAGGAAAAGATAAAGTCACTGTTATTAGAAGGATGCACATGTGTGACAACATACCAAACTGTCCCACACATTGAGAGAATACCACCCTTGTAAATGAAAAACATTTCTAAAATTAATCAAGTAAGGCCCAAAAGTCTAAAGTATAAAAAAAAAGAACATTATGAATGACATACAGCATAAATATCACAAACAAATAGTAGAGAATTGTTTTAAATTGCCTAAATGTCAAAATTAGGAAAAAATTAATAAAGTTCGTAAGTACAAGGCCTGTTACAGCAGATAGTATTCAGGAGAATGAGAAAAGACTCATTACTCATTACAAAGTGCAAATACCTAAAAATTTCAACACTGGAACATAGGTCTCTAAAGTTAAGGTCTGCAACAGAACCACAATAATACAGTGTGAGATGATAAACCAACTCAGTGACTAGTGAAGTGAGCAATCTTATTAAAAATAGGAACCAGTGCCAGTCATTAAGTACAGACTACCTCTACTTTAAAAAATTCTTAGAAACAACCAACCTGCTAATTCAAGAAGCAAAGACTCCAGTTCAAGTTAGGAAAAACTATGTTTTCCATTAGCCTAATTGCCAGTTCAAACTTCTTGAACTGTTCTATCAAGCTGCCATATTTGCTTGGCATTGAGCCTTTCAGAGATGTATACATTTGGAAAAACCTTTGCCTACATCTGAATAATCAAACTTTTCTTTGTAAATCAATTTCTTCAATCAACCCCAAAATACTCCTTAAGGTAGTTATTAAATGTTAAACCAGGTTATCAAACAGTAAGGTAACAGTCCCCCTCCTTTAAGGCTGAATGAAACTATTCTGCTTGTTTTACCTGTAGGACAGAAAAGGAATGTGTCTGGTTCTCCTAGATATTGATAAATTTCATTTGTGATTGAGACTTGAGCATGAGCAAAAGAACTGAAAACTTCTTTATCTGCTGCACACATGTTGTGATCAATATCATCAAACAGCAGTGCAAAAGATCTGCAGCCAAACTGAGAAACCTAATACAAGAGACAAGAGTAAAATGTTTAATTTGTTAAATTATTATTGCTTCTTTTAATCAAACAGTAGGATTTTTAGATCTAATCTACCTTAGAAATAGCTATAGGAACAGGGATATAGTGGAGGCAAGACAGACTTTGGTTTCTATTCACAATGAATGCCTGTCTCTGACCCATAGCTCTGCTTCTCTCAAAGATTAGACCTTTAAAGACCTGCAATCTGTTCCAGTTTTAACCATCCAAAGCTGATCTCACAGGATGGACAGCTGGGAAAAAAGCTAATTCTGTAACAGCTCTTGGACAAAGGAGAGGAGTCAGTCAGGAGAAGAAAGGAGACGTGCATGTCAGGTCTGTGAAGGCATTTATTGTGGGCTATAATTCCTGCTTTAGCAGTGCATCTTGGCTTCAAGATTCCAAAATACTCTGAAGACAAAAATAGCCTTCAACATCCAATAGAAGGTGAGGAATTTTTTTAAATCAAAGTTATCACTGGCTACTTCAGCAATGCCATTTGAACACATCCATCAGAATCGTTCAGAGACACCCAAACTAACACCAGTGCTGAAAAGGTTCGAGAAGCTGGTGAAAAGCTGCAAGAGTGAGCAAGGAACTGGAGCTTCCACATAAAGCAGCACTGGAACTGTCCTAAGTTTGTGTCATCCTTACCTGGTCCAGCTTACGTTTCAATGTGGATACCTCTTTAGGATTGGAGAAAGTGATGTCAAGTCCAGGTGAGATTGCATAGATGAATTCTATTTCATGTTCTCGTGCAGCTGATATTAGAGTCATTAGCTGCTCTGGAAATTAAAATATTTCAGAAGGACTCAATTAAAAATTTTCTCAGGCACCATGTAAAGTATATTATAAAGTGCAGATACCTCTTCTATCATAATTAGAAAAAAGAATTGCTGGAATTTCTTGAAACTAACATAGCAAAGAATACCAAATGATTTGGAAGATTTTTCAGCAATTATGCCAAAAGGTATACAACAACTGTCCTTGTATTCTCATTTTCCATGTTAAAATTTTTACAAATAAATATTTTTAAAATTTTCTTTATCTCAGCACTGTGAGACAAATATGGATATAGTCTGCTTCCACAGTACGTACATCAACAGGTCTAGAATTATTACTCACTTTTTCCACACATACTAACAATTTATTGCAGTAATATCACCCCATGTGACAGAGGTTCGCACACTACTCATATGACTGAAGCTTGGGCACATGAAAATGTGGGGTGTAACATCACAGTGCAGAAGTAGCTGCTATAAGAAACAAACTTGCAATTGACTCTTTCATAGAATGAATAAAGAAATTTATTTTTAGCATATTTAACGATCTTTGCTGTTATTAGATATTACCTTGCAATATCTTTTATTTTTCTCCATTGATTCAAAGAGGCCTCCAAGAATGATTATTTAATTTCGAGAGTATAATTTTTCCCCTCATCCAAGAAAAACTATAATCCCTTCAGTCTAATAAATGCCAGAGGTGGATGAAACAACTAACACTAGCATGAACAGATCTTTTATGTTCTGACTAATTGGTCAAGAGCTGTTTTTCTAACAGGTACTCTTTTCATTGAGACAAGGACTTAATGAATCACATAAAAGGACACGCTATTGGCCCTTCAATCTTTTTTTCCTTTTCTCAAGCAAATAATTTCTACTTCAAAAGACGTTCAAGAGCCAGAGGAGTAAGTCTAAGCAACCTTTCCCATGACAAAAAAAAATCTTATAAGACAAAGCCTTAAAATCAGTTTCAGAAATCATCTGCAGTTATAGTTAAAAGAAGTAAATCCATGCTTGTCCCAAAGCTTCCATAAACACACCTTCAGGGTATTAAAAAGAGGCTTTCAGTCACCTTTGGGAACGGCTACTGTGATTAAACACACACAAGTATACATAGCAATAACCAATTCATTCAAAGATCTACTTATAGAAAACACAGAGGAGAAATAAAGGCAATTACCTGCTTCCTCCACAGAGTACATTTCTCGCCAAAACATCCTGTGCTTGTAGTCATCCTTTGGAGCATACAGGTATGTATTCAGTCCCCACTTCTGAAGCCTAAAAACACAGGAAAAAAAGCCTTCAAATAGCCTACAAATTCAGGAATTCTCTTTTACTTCATGTTACTCTTATACTCAATCTGGTATTTTTTTCTTCACTGAACATTGTGCTATACTATTAAGTCACAATAACTTTAAGCACAAATTATATTAGATAAATTTGGTATATGCAAGGTAAAAAGGTGAATACAAATCCCAACAATACAGATATTAGGCAGAAAGTTGCTCTAGGTTAGAACAATAATTCTTTCCAGACTTCAGTGGAAGTTTCTGATTACATTCTGATGGAATGTGCTGCAGTAAAAGGAAACATGACTTGCCTTCTAAAAAGTTCTTTCCTCTGCTCCATCACCCAAGGTCTTCCATAAAATCCTACGGGCACAAGATTAGAAGTATCCAGTTAGATTATGCCTGCTTCATGGAACTCTATATTACAACCCACCATTTTCTTCCTCATTTGCTCCATTTGTCAAAAAGCTTCCCAAAGCAGAAAGGGGAAGAAAAAAGTTAGTATGAGGAAAGTGTAATAACCTAAAGTGATCTAAATTTAAAATGCCATTATAACTTGTTTTATTTCTTATGATCTAAGGTCTTATAATTTCATCCACTGAAGCAAATAATTTTCAGAATACGAATTGTGTTCCTGAGCATATGCCCTTGACAAGTCAAGTCAGCATTTTTATAGGAGCAGACCTAATTAAACTACCAGTCCAGACATCCACAAGATAGATTTGATTTTAAGGTGAACACTGAAAACACTTGAAAATATTTATCAGCTCAAAAAATGCTTAACTGGTGGTACAGACTAAGATTTATATAGGCAGAATATATAAATACATACTGCAGAAGATGATGTGTAATTAAAAAAAAGGTGCAACTGTGTCAACAAAATGCTTAGGATGTAATTTATTTTACTCTGTTTAACAGGATCTTTGTCAACATTAAGTTGTAAACTGATATCCTACTTTGCCATTTCCACATTTTACAAGCTAACACTATGTCTGTGAATAATCATACATAAAAGCATCTACCCAAGTGAGTTCAGAGTGTCTTGAAAGTCATATAAATCCACAGAAACTACAACTGCTTCTGGCTTTAAATCTAATCTTTCCATTCTAGAAACAATACTTTTAAAAAGCACTCTCAATGCCCTCTTAAGTCAAGCCAGCTCACTTAGACCTATATGCTAACAGTTCAACCACAAGTGGGCACTTCAAAACAAAGCTTCAGCTTGCAGTCCATGCAAAGACCAGAGACTAAAATAACATGAAATTCGATAAGCTCTTATTTTCAAACAGCATGGCCACTCAGCGATGAATGATACTACTAATACAGAAAGCTCACAAGTCCCCATAGAACACTAGTTCAAAAGATAAACAGTATCTTCATTTCCAAAGCTATTCACTCCTGTAAATCTGTAAATACTCAGTCTCATTGAGGTTACAATCACCCTTCTACCTTCCAAAACTCAAAACTGATGCAACTGAAGACATTTTTAATATATTGTGTATCAGTTACATGTTAAGTGCACAATGCTCTTTTAAGAAGCTTAAAGCAAGAGGCTCAAGTTTTAAGAATTATTCTAAGAGTGATCTCAAACTGCCTGGCACCACAACGTGGCAAAAATGAGCAACTACTCCTCACAACTGCCCAGTGCAACAGGGAACAACAAGAGAGAGCTGAGAGGCCTGAAAACCTCCCAGTTTACTTCACTCAAAAGGAATTTCTTATTTTCACTACAGTTTCCTAACTCTGATTGATGCTGCCCTGAGGATGCTCAGGAACTCACAAGAGTGAAATCCTGTGAAACTTAAAGAATATCTCTTATGCCTCATAACATTTTTGCTTTAGTTAACTACTGTTTCACACCTACAAGCCCAAAGCAGAACACAGCCTACAATTGAAAAAAAAAAAAAAAAAAAAGAATATCAGTTATCAAAAACTAATTAAATAAGGCTGAGCAGAACTGGCTAATCTGCAGCAATACTTTTCCATCTGTCACCACATTTCTTAGGTTACTACTGTCACCAGCCAATTACAATTCTTGGATCTTTCTAACTAAAAAAAAATTGACCTAGTTTTGCATTACTCCCTCAGGACTGAGTGTCAGGTTAATGCAAAGTCAACAGATTATGCCAAAATACCTCATCCCATTACCACGCTCTCCATCACTACAAGTCAGGACATCCTAGAGGCAGTGCACCAAAGCTTTGTATTTAACAATCTCTCAGACCTTATTACTCTGCAAAACAGCGAATCTGGTAAGTGGCATACACTTTTCACAAGTCTTAGAGGGCACACCCAGTATTTGGCCAATTGCCCTCTGCCTAAGTTCTCCATCTCAGCACTGTAACCTCACCACACCGTAGTCTGTATTAACCACTACTTTATATTTAAGTATTTAGGTACACTTCTGAAGTTAACTTCTGTTTTTCTCTTAGATCTATAATCCCTTGAGCCACTATGAGACAGATGTTTTCACTCACTACCCTTTACCTCCTTCACCACAAGTTTGTTTTTCTGTTGGTGGTGGTTTTTTGTTTCCTTTTTTTTTTTTTTTAACACTCCCCCATTCCTTTTTTTCCCTGTACACATATTATTTTTAGACTGGCAACTCCTAACCAGTGTTTGTGTTTGACAGCTTCTTTGGGCAGAGGCCATTTTCTTGCTTTGTTTTGTGCACAGTACACTTAGGAACACCTGCAACAAAATACATGCTGAGGCAACCAATGATGTAATTAACATGACAAGAATATTTATTACAGCATTCTCAGTGGTTCGATAGAGACCTGGATGAACAACTGATGTTCCAGGTATATCAGCAGGAATGTGAGAAAACATGCTGTTACAATCTGTGTTTTTCTTCACTGGTATGTGTCTCCAAAGGCCTCAATTTGCTATCTACCTTCACAAAATTAAGTCTATTGGCAAAAGAAAGGCATTTTTATCCACACTGACTGTATTTAAGCCCTACGAATTCACATCTCACAGTCATATTTGCAGAAGACAAATGAATGGGGATTTTTTTTAAGATACGAACTAAAAACAGCCTTGCAAAGCAATGCAAATACTGACTTTGATGAATTGCCTGTTCTCCTCTCTATTCCATCTGCTAATAATTTTGTCTTCCTACTGGAAAATCATTATTGGTACAGAAATAATATGTGACCACGGGAAATAAACCATTTTAAAAAAAACTGTTACGCTGGGAATAAACCATTTTTTCTGCTGACTTTCAACCATCTACCTCAACTGACCTGTCAGAAATGCATTACTGAGAACTGCAAAAGGTCCATTGATTCTGCAGCTTCAAGAACAATTCAAACCTTTTAATGGTGCAACTGTGCTAAAAGACAAAGGATTGTTCTACAATTAAAATGATACGCTAAAGCATTTTCGAGAACAAGGTACATTTAATATTAATTACTGAGCGGAAGTCCACGGAATCACCTATTCCCCACTCAGGGCAGAAGGTGAGCCTCTGGAGCGCAGGAAGAGCACGCACAGCCGGGATAATCGCGCGGTAGCGCTGCTCTCTCCCTCTTCCCCCTTTAGACACGTACGAGCGGGCGAGCCCCAGCACTGCCTCAGCCTCTCTGAGCCACCAGCGGCGCGCTGGGTGCCAGGCCTGCCCGCGCCCCGCCGCACAGCTGCCAGCAAAGGGCGCTCCCCGCTCCAGCACAAGCCCCGGGGGCAGAAGCCCCGCCCGGGAGCCGCGGCTCCTCCCCACGCCGGCGGAGTCCCGGCCAAGAACCGCACGCCACCTCCCCGCCGAGCGGGCTCCTCGGGGCGGGGGAGGAGACGGCAAAGCAAAGCCAGCTGGGACCAGCCCACCCCCGTCTCCCAGGGGAGACCCCCTCCGAAAGCTCTCACCTTCGACGACTCCGCAGAGGAAGCGGCGGGAGCCCAGCGCAGTCTCCGTCTCGGTGTCGGTCTCCTCGCCCCCCGGGACCGGCCCTGCCGCAGCGCCCGGCGGCTCTAAGGGGGCGCCGGGCACCCCGGCCGGGTTGGGACTGCCCTGGGGCTCCTCCAGCGCCGCCTGCCCCTCCTTCTGCACCATCCTTGCGCCCGCCGCCAGCGCCGCCGCTCGCCGGGCCGGGCCGAGGCGAGCCGGGTCCCTGCCGTCCCCGCTCCGCAGCCCCTTTGTCTCCGCCGCTCCGGGGCCGCCGCCGCCGCTTCCTGTTTACGGGGCGCTGCGCCTGCGCGGGGAACCGGCCCCAACCGGTCCGCGCCGCTCCGCCCGCAGCCGCCGCACCCCGCGGGAGCGCCGCGGGGGCAGGGGAAGCGTCTGCCTCGGCGGGAAGAGAGCGAGGGGCGCGGGCGGCCGGGACCGCGCCGGTGGAGCGGGAACAACGGGCTGGGGCTCGGGAGGCTCCTCGGGGAATGAGGCGGGCGGGCGGCGCGGGCGCTCTGCGCAGGCGCGGGGCGGGGGAGGGCGCGCACCGCGCGTGCTCGGCGGGGCCGGCAGCGGGAGGGGCGAGGCCGCGGCGGCCCCAGGGCGCTTGCGCGGGGAGGCAGAGCGCGCCCGCGGCGCACGCGCGAGGGGCCGCGGGGACCGGGGGGGAAGCGGCGGAGGGGCAGCGCGCGTGCGCCGTGGGGTTTGTGTCGGGAAGCGGCGCCGAGGGGGAAGGAGGGCGGGGGACGCAGTGTTTACCTCCGCACCGCGCGTGCGCCTCGCGGCGCGGCGCCCCGGCGGGAGCGCGCCTGCGCGGGAGGGAGGGCGCGCGGCTCCCGTGAGACGCGCCCTACTTCTGGCGCTGCCGCGCAAGCGCAGCACGGCCCGCCAGGGACACCGCGCCGAGCCGCTGAGGGGGACAGCTCCGACCTCCTGGGAGAGGCCGCGACAATGCTGAAGGGTGCGATGGTACCACTAGGTCAGAGGAGGGCTCTGCGGTCACACAGCATCTCTTCCGCTGCAGCCGCAGAGGAGCACGAGGGACCCCAGGGCTGAGGTGACCTCTCCTGTGCCCTTGGAGAGAGGCCGCAGGGTGATGCTGCCGGCCTTCCCGGCACTGGGGAGGCTGCAGCGGGTACCGGCCAGCAAGAAACAAGTTAGCAAAGATCTGCTGAAAACCCCACCTCGAGAGGAAGATCTGGAGAAGGCCTGCAGACATCAGGGCAGACACGTCGCGTTCCAGCCGAGTTGCCCCTTATTCCCACTGATAACAAGAAACCGCAGACAGCTGCATTTTCGCCACCATCAATACCTGTGCTCGGGAAGCTGCAGCAGAGCCCCTGGCCAAGGGGCATCTCTAGTTACCATTATCATTAGGCCAAAGCTTTCAAAGAGCAAAAATAGAAATGGTACAGATGCCCTAAATAGGAACCAGTTAAATTGTATTGATACGTGAACAAACTTTACAGAAGGGTTAGAGAGGAGAAATGCACCAAATCTGGGTGGAGAACACACGGGACTTTCACACAGCATCACAAAAGACCCCGAAGGGGTGCACATGTCTCTGATCATGGCAAAATAATGCTACAGTTCTCCCAGTGCCAGAATCTCATCCTTTTACAAAATCCTTGTGTTTCTAGGCAGTATTCAGGATGCTGGAGTGAATCACTGCCCCAGGCTGCATCAGCTGCCTCATTCAGTTGCCCAGCAGTTTTACCACTTACTACTATTAATTTTACCTCAGAAAGCTGGGAAAAACTTGTCTAGAAACAACAAAAGCTGCCCTTCTCCAAGAATCCATCAGTTCTCTCTGTTCTCACCATAGACCAAATGACTTGGCTGTCCACCCTTAAATGCCACCTCCTACTAAGGGTCATCCAAGCCCTGGCTCACACAGCAGCTTCTTATGGCAAGCTGAAGGCACAACTAAAGGATCCAGGCCTCTCTGCCCTCAGGCCCTTCCAGAGGGCCTGTTTGGAGGAGAGCTAAACAGATTATTTTTGACTCCCAGAGATGCTTTCCCACCCCCCACTGCAAAAGCTACACTCCCTGCACAAACCTTTTCCCATCTGGTGTGAAAAGGCTATGGCAGCATTTGGAGGCTGGGGCCCACAGTGCTGTTTTTCCTATTATCACCTCAGCCTCTTTCCTGCCCTTCCTCCTGTGGACGAGGACCCAAGGGATCCCATCAGTGGCTCACAGCATCCCTGTGCCACAAGAGGGCACATCAAGCCCTTGGATGTCATTGCCCAAAATAGCAACCAGCCAAACAGAGCTCAGGGGATAGGATATACCAGGGAAAGTGGGTTAGAGGGGAAAACATGCTCAGGCCCATTCATACTGCCATACACAGCCCTGGGTGATGGCCAGCGGCCCAAAAAGGTCCCTGGAGAATCAGAGTCTTTGGAAACATCAGATTTGCTGCTTACCCAGTCCCACAATGGTAATTCCCCTCACTGCCAGAGCCCATCCTTTTAAGGCTTTGTTTGGTTTCCAGGCAGCTCTTTGCATTGAGCTTTCAGTTCCTGGACTAGAGGCTGTAGAATGCTGGACCATTTTGCTGTCCCACATCAGGTCCATTGCTCTCTGGTTCTGCTACTTTCTTACTTACATTGACTGTTAATTTTTCCCAGTTTTCAATGCTGGATTTTTCCATCAATAATTGCCATAAGATAAACCCCTTCCCTGTCCATACCCACCTCCTCAAGGTGTCAGGCAACCATGTTCCTGTTAACTCAGCCTTAAATGCCACATCCTAACAAGGGCCACCTGGTCCCAGGCTTGGGTTCCCCCAGCAGCATCTGTGGCAAGCTGAAAACACACCTGGCAGCCTGACTCCTGAAATATGACACACTTGATTCAAGAGCTTTTTAACCTTAACACCTCCAGCCTCTTAGCAGCAGAAAATCTGTATTTACAGGACCACCAACTGCATGGCTAAGCTCAGTGTGCACCCTGTCCCCCATGCAACCTCCCAGAGCACCCATGCAGAGCACCCTGCAACCACAGCACCCCAAAAAGGATACCAACCCTCTGCAGAGACCCCTCTTTTTTCCTGCCTTCCCATCCCAGGCAGCTGACAGATGCAAAGACAGAACAGTAGTGTGCATAGCGATTGTGGTTAGATTTTATTGGTTTTTTGTTGGTTTTTTGTTTTGTTTTTTTAACTCATATAATTGTTATAATACAAAATATACAGACTGGAGATGCCAAGCGGGTTGTGGTCACCATGCCCCAGGGCAGGGGGTCACACCATGCGACCTACAGCGTGAGGGGGGAGGCGGCAGGTGCTCCACATGGCAGCGAACAATGGGTACCCCAGAGAGCTGGGAGGAGGGAGAACAGGGCCGAAGAGATGGAGGGTAAGGCCCTCCCACCCTTAGGACAATGCAAGTGGGAGCTCAGCCCCACAGCAAACCTGGGAGCAGGTCTGTGAGATGAACGGTGTGTTGAATGAACCTAAAAAAACACATCATGTCTGCAAGATAAATAATGTGTCAAATGAGCCTAAAAAACATGTGATGTCTGCAAGGGCTGGGACAGGGATCATCCCCCAGGAAGCAGCCCCTTAGCTTTGGCTCAGAGCCCCAGGGGTTAAATTCTAATGTCTCCAGCCCCAGGGCCTCAGCCTGGGTCTGGCCCAGCATGGGTGCTGATCCCAGACATCGCAGCTCAGGCCAGCCCAAACCACCCCTGGCCAAGGATACAGAGAATGGAGCCACAGACGGGGCTGTCAGGGCTGGGTACATTCCCAGTGCCTGTGAGGGGCTTCTAGAGATGGCATGGGATCATTAGCCCATGGGCATCACTCTCCCAGCTATGACTTGGAGTGGTATCTGGGCAGGACAGGCCTATCTGCACACACCCATCTCCAAGGAGCTGGTGGGAACAAAAACCCAGAGTCTCCATCCCCAAGGTCCCCAAGCAGGCTCTCACTTGTCCATGCTGGGAAAAGGAGAAGAGTCCCCTGCCCCAAGGTGACCCTCCAGCCTGCCAGCAGCATGGCAGTGACTCCTGTCTAACCCCAGCCTTGACTTTCTCCTCCAGGAGCTGCCAGCTCAGCCATGTCACCAGCACAGGGCTATGCTGTGGGGACACCTCTCTGCATCATTGCTCATTCCCCCATCCCCAGGGCAGCAGGTGGGCTGGGATGGGCCAGGGCACAGGAGCAGGGCAAGATCAGCAGCTAATGATGCCAGGAGCATGGCTGTGAGCCCTATGGGACCAGAATGGCCACCAGAGACAAGCCCGTCTCCCTCTTCCACATGTCCCCATACCCTGGCTGTCACATCCTCGGGAAGGGTTGGAAAGAGTGTCTCTCCACTAGAGCCTCAAAGTGGATCCCTGGGGTCCCCCTGTGCCAGCACCCCAAACCTGAGGGACAGGGGCTGAGGTTGCAGCTCTTCCAGCCCTGCATCGTCCATCCTCGGGGACAAGGGCCACAAGTCACCTCAAAGTCCCTTTAGCCTCCCCTCTGCTCCTGTCAGGAAGAGCCTCGTAGGATCCCTGGGATCAGGGGATGCTCCCCACAGCTCATGCAGCAATGAACCCCAAGGGCTCACGTGGCTGCCTTCTCCAGGCACAGCCCCTCTGCCCACCCTCTGGCCCAGGACAGGGAGGGTGGCCGGTGGCTCACAGTGGACACACCACACATGCTTCCCACAGCAGGGCACAGCCAGGGCAGGGGAGGAAGCCGAGGGATTGACTGTGCCCATTGCAAGACTTGATTGGTTTCTAGACTGTGTTGCTGGAGAATTTGGGCTGGAGCTGAGATGGGGGCTCCTGGGGCTGGAGAGGATCAGGGTAGGCGAGCTGTGGCTGCACAGGGTGGTGTGCACAGGGAAAACCTCTACTACAGCCCAAGGATGCATCTTTTCCACCAGGATTGGGTGCAGGGAGGTCCATCCAGGTAAAATTCTCATCCCGTGCCAGCCATGCCCATGCTCCAACATCTGGGAGCACCTGCTTGGGATTCCCCAAGGAAAGCAGAGCTGGGCCAGGGGAAAGGGAAGATCTCGGCACTGACTGCATCTCATGGAAGGAAGGCCCCTTTCCATGGAGGTGTCTGTGCAGCCAGAGGAGGGGAGTCTCAAAGGAAAAGTCAAGAGAGAGAAGAAGGTTCTGGGCCCAGTGTCAGGAGAGCTCATCTGGAGGCAGGTCCGGGAGCTAAATCACGCTGTCGAAGAGCTGCATGGATCGCATGATGTTCTCATCCTGTCAGGAGCAGGTGGGAAGCGTGCAAGTTGAGCACAGAACAGCAATCTGGGAAGCTCCCCCAAACCTGGCTTTACCCTCATGGCAACTCTGGCACATGGGACAAGGCCCCCAGGGATTACAGGCAGTTTCCAAGCCCTACTGGGATCCATGGCTCTCCTCATCTGTACAAGGATGCTGGCTTGGGTACAGTTCCCAAAGCAGAGCTCCAGCCTTGCCCCTGAGATCCCTGGCTTCACTCCCTCTCTGCAGGAAGGAAGCAAGAGGGACAAAGGT